CATGCTCTTCTACTGGTTGTCCTCACTCCTAGCTTCTTGACTTGCCAGGTACTTCATACTCTTGGGATTTTGTCTCTCATAGTTCTCACTGCTCTTCTCTCTTGTTTTGGGCTCTCTTAGGATCTGGCTGATGTTACTAGGCAATTCAGGTATGTTATTACTTTCTATCTAGGCAAGCTCTTTCTACAACTGAAAACTTCTCTCTTTGAGCTAGACTTACTCCTTCCCATTTGTCGCTGCACTTCCTGCTCCGCCTCCTCTCGCTTTAGCCCACCAACCTGGTCCTCTACCTTGGAACCACACATTCCCTTGGGTCTTTGCACTCCACCCCCGGCTCCACTCGCGTTCAGGCCAGTACCTCTGTTCAAGTAGCCTCTGGCTCTTCCTCTACCCAGTCCTCCTCCTAGTCGGTAAGCAAAGGTTCCGTCAGTTATCTTGTCTATCCTGTTCCTCTCTTCTTCTCGATTACTTACCTCTGCTTCCGCTTTGCTCCGTCCCCAGATAGTTTCCCCACATTGACGGTGTCAACAGGCCTGTTGCTGGGTCTATGTGTTCCATACCTCCTCCCAAGACATAGGGGTTGTCAACAAACTTCCTCTCTCCTTTCGCGTCTGCTTCTTCCTTGGCTTCTCTCAGGAGGTCCTTGTGGATGTATCCGGCGTCCTCCATCACCCGTCCTCCGCCTGGCGCCTTCTTCACTTTCATTGTCACCATCCTAACCTTCTTATTGTATCTCAGCACCACCATCCAGCATTTCGTTATGTGCTTTACTTTCACCACATTTGCCCTGTGTCTCTCAAACATCTTTGCTGCCTTTGGGAGCTCATACTCCTCTCTCAAGTATTGAACAAATAAGTTGAACATGTCTATCCAGAAGCCGTACGTCATTAGGAGCTCCTCATTTGGTGCTAGACCTGAATAAGTCGCTGAGGGATTGTCTTCCTGAAGTTATTTTGTAGTTTTCACCTTCTTCTTTCCTGCTGCCCTCTGGTCTCTTTCTATCCAACTCAAATCAAAAATTGTGAGGGGCACGTAAGCTTTCAGTGTTCTCATTTGGTTCTTGAAGTACGGCGTCAACGGCATCAGCATTGAGGAGCTCCCTAGGGATTTACCTATCCAATAGGTTATCCCCCCTTCAGTTTCTACATACGGCGATGTTCACATCAGTACACGGTTTCTTAGTTCCTACAACTATGTCTCTTACCTTCTTCTCCTTGGTCTTCTTCCACTTCTCTTGTCTTTCCTCCTTCATCTCTCACTGCCAGCATTAAAGAGATTCCCGGGTGGGAATATGGGTCCCAGGAACCAAATGCCCCATTTGTTACTGCTAAATATCTTCATAAGTATTTCCTCAGTAGCCATGGTGATATATGTAGTCAATCTTTTGGGCTGTTTGTTGCAATTGTAACAAAGTTACAGAACATATTACATGTGAATTTCTCAACCAGATGAGCAGGTAACTGAGCGGAGCTATATGTAGATGACAGCTAAGTATTCACTCAGATGTTTGCACATATGTAACATATACTTTATTGCTCAGATGGCCACTGTGTGATGGCTTCATGACCTATTCTACTCTCAAAAATGTTCCCAGCCTAGTGCTGATTCCCATCAAGGAACCTCTTTAATGCTGGCAGTGTCTATCTTCCCTTTCCTCTGATGTGTCTTCTCTTCTTCTTTTTTTCAGGATTTTCTTTCCCCTGTTTCTCCCTCTTTCTTCCTGTGTGGCTTCTACCGCTGTTACGTGATCTGCATTGTCTTTGTCCTCATCATCTCCCCCTACTATCAAGGACTCCGTCCAAGGTCTTTTGTCTCTGAACCTGACCAGTGATTGCCTCTGCCTTGTGCGGCCTTCCACTGCTGCATCAGTCGGTTCACCTCTGCCGTACATCAGGTTGAAGCCTTGCAACATCTTCATAGCTAGCTCGTCTTGCTGTGTCTTGAAAGCAAACTCAATTGCCAACCACCACTTCGCTTCAGCCAACATTTCCTCTGGTTCTGTCTCTGCTTCAAACATTCAAACATTTCCTCTCACCAGTTTCTCTAGTTTCACAATCTCTACGACTCTCTGTCTCTCTTTCTTTATCATCATTCATCCTAGCCCCAACTGGCGTAGTTCTCTCTCCCGCGGTGAGTATCTTCTGTTCACTCCCCCTTCTCCTTTGTGTCTCTCTGCACCGCTCATCACCCTCACATGACTTTAGGTATAGATAGGGAGAATTGATAGAGAGAAACTGAACCACTCTTTACCCCCTTCTGAGAAATCATTTACTTACCGTTGTTATCAGCTTCACCGCCAATATCTTTAGGGATTATGTCTCTTTGGTTCACACCTTGACCTCCCCTCACTTCCTCTCCGTCCACCTCCCCCTCCTGCTGCTGATCCTCATTGGTAACCTCTCCGCTACCCCCAGCTTGTGGCTCCGCGTTACTTGTGCTTTCAGTGTTACCTATCTCCGTTTCTACTCTTCCTTTTGATTGACTCCTTGTTGTCGCGCTACTTGTTCCCTCGCCTTTGTTCACGTTTTCTTTTGACCCTATCCTCTTCATCTTGATTCCTGCTGCTTTTAATTTATCTTGTGTGCTCTTCAGTTTGTTGTTGAAAGATGTCATGCTTTTAAAAGATAAGGTCTTGTGTTTTATTTCCTTGAATTCTCTTCTGTCTGAATTTTAAAAACTTTCCGTTGAAATAACAGATTATTTCCACCCGTGAGAATGTAGAGTAGCGCGTATAAGTTTCGTTCAGATGCTGAGTGTGAGGGGGAAGCTTGGAATTTGTTTATTCAAATCTAAGCTCTCTCTGTGAAAACATTGATTATGGGTTATGGGTTTTCCCCTCTCACTACAAAACTGTATCATGGAACTTTGTCTTAAGTTGTTCCTTTGATAAGAATCAATCATACAACCAAGCACGGCCAACATATTTACCTCGCATATTTACCTCGGATTTTGTAATCGGATGCAAAACCTCGGACAGAAGCTTCCCGAGGTTTTGATCCGAGGTTATTTCCAGGGCAAAAAAATACCTCGGGCAAAAACCTCGGACAAGGTCTGTCCGAGGATTTGCCTCCGATGATGCCTCGGATTTCTCAACCCGAGGCATCTATGCTGGCAGTGAAGGGGGTCAATGCCAAATCTGATGACAGATGCGCGCACCCAGCGCATCAGCGCACTCCAGTGTGTCACTCAACCTGCACACTTTTGGCTTGCGCCCAGTCCCACAAATGGATTTGCACGAACACAGGAAAAAAATATTCAACATGGAAACAAAGACATGTTGATATGCCCACCACGATTGCCAAAGGACCATCGGGACAAATTGGAAGCCTGGTTTCTGCAATTGTAGCTATGAATGAGAAAGGGCTTCTTGAAGATACAAAATGCAAATTAAATGGAGGAATGGAAGCTCAGGTCGTATGATCCAAACATCTCTCGACCAACTCCCAAGATTCTCCAATATCGAGTGTGTCTTCACGTTTGAGTCGATAAAATTCTTTCCACCACCACAAATCTAGTGAATAAAAGACAGAAGGGCTCAAAGCTAGAAAATAACTGACTGAATCGTTCGCCGTGAAAACTGCCTTTTCTTTTTCTTCTTCCTCAATTGGTCCATCATTAGACCCAGTCTGAGATATTTCAGAGACCGGAGATCTCAGAGAGTTTTCTACCCATCTAAATTCAGAGAATCTATGCCATGGCTTTTGAGGAAGGATATAATGAATATTTTTGATATTGGACTCAGACCATTTGAAACGATGGAGGACGCCGAGTGTCTTGAGTGCGTTATATTTGTATTGTAGGAATACGACTTTAAGCTTAAAGACAATTGCTAAGAGGTCTTGATCAGGAAACCTGAAGGTTTCTACTCGTTCATCAGTGGAAAGAAAGTCAATGAGGGTTTCAAAAGTGGTTTTTTCGGGTTGGAGTACTACAAGTCCACTGTTCAACAGATGTTGAGTCCTTTTTGAATATTTTGTAGGTTGCCAAGATTCAATAATCGACTGAGAGTCTTCTACGCATGGGTGTGTATGGCCGCAGTTTTCTGGTATCCTATGATCAAGATGTTGAAACAAAAATGGCAATAAGCTTGAGCAAAGAATTTACTAAATCATCACCCCGCCGGCCCTTGACTGACCAATCTGTGGGATAACCTATCCTACGTAGAGGATTACACGTGCAAGCATGACAAGCAGCGATGTGTCCCCTGGGTAGCTCCAAATCAAATAATTCGTCCATGTTTTGGCGAATAAGCATATCGGCGTCCAACAGGATCACGCGCTAAAATCCAGGAGGCCAAGTATATCAGAAGCTGTGGGCTTCAAGGAAAAAGGAAAACACATAATTGGATACTCACCTCATATTCGAAGAGTGAAAAGGCTTGAAACTTTGTCCAAGTATCTTTGAACCGACCATCCATTGAATCTTTTGGAATAGAGTGTTGAAGGCGCTCTCCAGGGTATAAATAGACTACGAATTTGATCCTACAACTTGCGTCGAGCAACAGTTTTTGAAAATCTGAGGATATCATGCACTCGTTTCTATTTTCTGTCCATGAGTAATTTGTATGTGAAGTTTGGTGAGGTAAAGTATGGACTTACGTTGAAGGATTGATAGGTAGAAGTACCAACAGTGGATATTTGCTTCCATTGGCCCGCATTGATGACCAAAGGACTAAACATCCAGGAATGTAAGATTCCTGAAAGCAGGTATCCAGATATTATTCATTGAGTTCCACACAGAAATCATTGAAAGAAAATGCCGAGAGGAGACTCAACATGTGAGATATAGGTGACCCATGTTCTCCTTAGTTCAGATTCCATGTAATCAAAATCTATTGCTACTGAAAGGAAGAAGGCTCTCCAATGCGGTTTCGAAGAGGTAAAGTGAGAATGTGGATTGAGACGGTAAAGAGAGTGAATCTAAGTGATTTCTGTTGACCAATCCTTGACTGAGTTTGATTTGAAGTTTTTAGTAATCAATCAATCAATTCATCACCTGACTCATCATGACGAATAAGCTGTGAGGTTCTTCACTATTTGACAACTTTAACTCAAATCATCATCTTGAAGAGCTAGCAGTGAAAAAATCCAAATTACCTTTCCACCATGTATGCGAATAGTCTACATGTGAACGGTCACCAAATGTTTTCTCCTCAACAAACCCAAACCAAATCCTCGATTTACTCTTTCTCATCAGGATATGATGGAGGATTATCTACATCGGGTATTCAGCAAACGATATCAAGTAGCATCCTAACTTCAGGCGATAGAACCATTGCACGAAGAGAGAGAGAAATTAAACTGATGGAAAACACATGATATTAACAAAGTAAAGAAAGACTTCTTCCTTCAGCATTGGACGTCCAAAACATAAACTGGCAAGAGAAGAAGTGAGCAATCATGGGTTTAGTCTGCTATAAAAACCTTGACCTTTTGCATCCAATGTATGATAAGTGGCTTTGCAGCAGGTGGTCACCGTCCGCGTAGGTCCACGTCTTTTGTGCCCCTTCATTAATTTATTTGCATTGAAATCGACACGCCACTTCGAGTTTGATGAGGGCTGATGCTGGCTGATGAGTGTACATGCAGTGTAAATCATTCAGTACACAAAGCCGGAACATCGTAAATTGTACAACATACAAGTCAGCACCGCTTCCTAACTTTTGGCATGAGTGTGTCACAAAACATATCATGAATGCTGAGAGCTCATCACATTTATCTTCTTCCTTCCTTGATTCCCCTTTCCCCTCATATTTCAAAAGAGTTAAACACATTTATACCAGTCAGTATCTCAGTAGCGTTCCTGGTGACTGCATAAGGAGGAGCAATTATAAGGGTGGATATACCGACGATCTCGATATAAGAAGCAAAGTTTCAAATCTCAGGATATCAATCCATTGAACCGCTAGGAGCTTATCAATCCACATATCCTACAGCTTCCCCTGTAAGTTTAGATTTAAACAATTTCACGAACCTTTTTATCACAGTGACGGGGTTGATAAGATTGAAACTGACGGCCTACTTGTTGAAAAAGAAAGGTTTTCTTTGTTAGTTCTTCGTTGCACGTATGACGAAGTCAGCCTCCTAAGGGCATTCTTTTTTATGATCTGAACATCCGCTAGTACTCGCCCCATCCGAAAGGCCTGGTGTCAGTTCCTACCTTCATCGTTCAATTTTGAAGACGAAAACGCGAATACTTTTGCAATTGAACTAGAAACTCAGGACGCTAATGGGCTTTCGAGTCCTGCGCTGACGCTACGCGCTTATTCGAAAGTTCGTCAGTCACAGTTCAAACACGGTCTGATAGTATCGCAACTCACACGATATCATCTTTACATCGTCAGTATCTCTAAACCTGAAGGTGATGAGTTTCCTTGGGCTCATTTGATCTTGGGTCACCGAACCTCGAAACTTCCACAGTTTTCTTTTAAAAGTCAAAAGCAACTGGAATTGCTGAGTATTCTCAGTCAGCTTAGCGAGTTATAAGAAAAGTCCTCTTCCAGAGATTCACGCGCCACCAATCTCAAAAGTTGAAGCTTTCAAACCTCGTCATTCAAACCGCACAACCAGCATATTTGTTTTGCATTTCTACGAGTGACTTTTTGCGGACCAGAGCTCGGGACTTTTTAGTAAACTGGGTAAAGCACGGCTATATATATGGACGCAGATAAATTCAGGCTCTCAGCACGGAATCCCCACATTTATAAAATCCTCAATTGGAGATACCATCACTCACGAACTTTGATATCGATCAGCCTGAAATATTAATTATCACTTCAAGCGAATCTTACCACCACATTCAATTTCACCCAAAATGCCAATCACTTACACTCAAACTCCTGTCAGGCCATCTCGCCCACCTACATTATTCTCTAGCCATGAACTTCGCCAATACGGCTTCCAATTAAACAAACCAGAACTTGCTCATGTCAATACCTTTGGAACCAAGAGTCAAATCTCGGACAACTCATCTGAACTTACACGCGTCGGATCATCTAGAACGACCTTTGAAAAACCATATTTATCAACATGCATACCCGATCAACCAGTTAAGATTACCACAAAGACTAAATTCTTAACTTGGTTTAATCCTTATCGAAAATTACTTTGCTTATCCATCTTTGTCAACTTTATTTTACTCCTCATGGCCATGTCCAACACTCAAAGCTACATGAGGAAACACCTTTCGGTAATGGTTCTAGGAAACTTACTGATTGGTTTCGGGGTTAGAAGTGAGTGGATCCTTAGGTTTCTGTACTGGTCTTCGATCATGTGTTTCAGATGGAACTGGGTTCCCAAAAAGATCAAGATCTGGGTAGTCGGTGTACTTTATCACATTGGTAAGTCATTTTCTCGATTGAAACCTCGCAGTACTTATTACTGATTCTTTCATATTTATTCTAGGTGGATTGCACAGTGGTTGCGGAGTATCAGCATTTCTTTGGCTTTGTCTATCATGGGGAGACCACTTCTTACATCGAGAATTATACCATGGAATCACTACTGGAAGCATGTTTTTGTCTATTCTTGGAGTGTTAGTTAGCTGCATAGGAGCATCACCTCACGTTAGAGAAGCCCATCACAAGTAAGTCATTGTACTGATTCCATGAAGATAAGCATATGAAATTTGAACTCATTCTTGATAAACTTGAACTCTTTTTGATTCCAGTTTTTTCGAAGCAACACACAGATTCGTTGGATGGTGAGTTTTGCTTTTAGTCTGAGGAGCTTTGCAGGGTAATCATTTTACTGAGATCGGTTCTTTTCTATCTACACAGGTTCGGTATCTTGGCCACAACAGTATTTGTTATCTCATCGGCTTGGTGGAACCCAAAGAGCCAAAAGTGGCAACCCTTTGCTGAAAATCTATTTTACATGGAAGAATTTTGGTTTGTTATGCTTATGATCGTTCTGTGAGTCATCTACATAGTCTTTTTATTTGAATATTGCAAAGAATACTTCTAACTGATGGACTCCGTGTACAGGATTGTAGCATCTTGGATAACGGTCATGAAGGTTCCGGTGACTTTTGTTCATGTGAGTTTCATGTGTCAAGAATTCAAATGAGATGATGATTCCTGATGTTTTTTTTGATATGTTTGCGTTTCTTCAGACTTCATCCAAAGCCTCGGTACTTCGTATGCCAGGTGGTCTCACTTCTGGTCTTCACACTCGTATCTCCCGTGGCGGGCTACGTGAATGGCACATTTTTGGATCAATAAGGTATGCTATTTCAGATACTCCTTTCATATCTTCATTTACTAAACCTGTGTCTTTATGGGGTTCATGTTTTCAGCGAGGGAAGAAACGCGACCTGTCACTATCTAGTCATCGCTGTACAAGGGGACTTCACGCGGTCTCTGAACGAGAACACTCCTGAACACTTATACACCAAGACCTTCAAGGTAAGAGATCCTTCGTTATTCCCATCACAAGCTATAATCTGACCAATGGGTGTATTTTTCCTTGATCTCGTTTTCTTAGCCATGCGGTTTACCTTATTTTTCAAGACTGTTTCAACGCGGAGTTGCGATCTGCACGGGTTCTGGAATCGGAGCAATCGGATCAACTTGCATTCAACATGAGAGTTGGTTTCTAGTTTGGATAGGACCTGATTTAGAAAAAACTTACGGAGAAACTTTCATGAACTTCATTAAAACGAGGATCAGCCCGAACAGAAGAATCATATGGGACACTCGAATTTCTGGTCGACCAAATGTTCCATTGGAGCTTGAAAGGGTCTTTAGAAGTTGGAAAGCCGATGGTGCGTCTGTTTTTTCAAAAATGCCCTATTGCTTCCTGTCGATAACTGTACTGACTTTACATGATTTTTCTTAACCTCAGTTGCTCTTTTCATTGGCAGTCCTGCTTTGAACAAATCAGTCTTACAAACTTGCCGGGTGCGAAAAATACCAGTATATGTAAGTGATATTCTTTCTCTCTATAAAAAGTCTTACAAGAACTAACAAGCTTCGTTCATTCAGGGATCGATATGGGACGCTTGAATAAATTTGTTTTATTTTGTACCTTGGTAGTCTTCTTTTGGGAAAAGAGATCAGTTTGTTTTTATTTTCGGAAATTGATTTGATATCAAGATCTTATGGACATCTTTTACATTGTAACTTGAATAATCATGTGGTAGAACTTTCATCGTATCGGACGTTTTTATTTGTTCTAAACAACTATCATTTTCAAAATTACATGTATCTTACTCTAGAATAACAAGAAGCTCAAAAAGCTCTGATCAATTGGAATATCGGGGATATTTGTCCCAGAACACCGAAATCCTGCTCAACCGTTGTCGTGTTCAACTTGGTTATACGTGACACAGTCTGCATACAAAGATACCGGAGTGTGTGATAGAAATGAACATATACTGGGGGAGATTGGAAATATAGGGGATAAAGCTGAAGAGAGTTTAGTTGGTGGACGAGAAAAGAAACGATCAGGTTTCATCATATATACAAATCTTGGGAGACATCCCTGAGAATAGAGAGGTGATATGTGCTGATTATCGTCTCAGTCAAGACGAGAAGAACATGATTAAATTCAGAATCCTGCTCGAGAGAGGATATGGTGACTGCCACCTCATTGGAGGAGGTTTCCTCAATCCATGCATAGGGTCTCTCAGGTTTTCAAGACTCGACTTTTTCAAAGTCTTCTTTAACATCAAGAAAGTGTTGATCTGGGACACTGTCCAGGAGCTCCAAATCCTGGCACAGTAGCACCAAACGCACAAAACCCAAATATTTGCAAATGAGTCCTTCAAGATAAGAAAATTGTCCGAATTTGAAACCTCATTATCAAGCGGTTCGATCTTAAGCTTTTTCGTACATTCATGGAAGCACGTAACAACAACAAAAAACAAAAAAAACTAGAAACTGAGAATCTCGTTTAGACAGGACTTCATAGATAATATGCCAGCGCGGGATCAATAACGTCGTCGGCTGATTTGACAGTAGTTTCCCTAAAGTCAGTCAATGGCTCCTACAAAGTATAAGATGGGAGCGTAGACTCACAGATGATCAGAGAGCCTCCTTGAGGGACGATAATATCTGGTATAAGATAGTTAGAGGCCCTGAAATCGAATATATCGATCGTCAGACGCGAGGAACGAGAGTCAGTTTGAATCCCAGGAATTCGAATGATGTTACTGACTTTTGAAGTGCAACTGGATCAGCTTGTATTTTATTTGGACCTTTTCGTGCACGCTTAGGGGGAGGGATCATGGAAGTTGAAGCACTAGAATCAAATTGATCGATCACGAGAGATGAAGAAACAAAGTCAGTCTAAATCCCAGGAATTCGAGTGATGTCACTGACTTTTGAAGTGCAACTGGATCAGCTTGTCTTTTATTTGGACCTTTTCGTGCACGCTTAGGGGGAGGGACTCGGTGAGTTGAAGCACTAAAATCAAATTAATCGATCACGAGGAGTGAAGAAACAAAGTCAGTCTAAATCCCAGGAATTCGAGTGATGTACTAACATTTTACCAGGCACCAAACCAGCTTTTCTTTTATTTAAAGGCTTTCGGCTATGTGTCGTAGAAGTTGAACCACTATAATCGCATCCATCAATTGAAGCAGATGAAGAAAAATGTCAATCCAAATTCCGGTACAGAATTTAAGTGATGGAACTAACCTTTGAGCAGAGTCCAGTTTAGGCTTACGGATACACGTCTTTTGGTGACGTTCTACATCGGACACGTTCTTATAATCTTTCTCGCACCCATTGTAACAACATACATCTGTTGTTTGGTTGGCAAGGGGGATTGATAGCAACCCTATTAGTATCATTCAACCTATCTAGTTTATGGTACCATTGAGGAGCTATCAAGGACTTACAAAGCTGTCCTAATTGCCTAAGTACTTCTTTAGGGATATGGGTGCGCTTGTGTCTTTCGTGATTGGTTTTGTCTCTGGACACTATATGACATTGGTCGCATGGAATTTTGTTGTTTTTGGTTACTGCTGAGACCTCAGACGAGGTGTCTTTAGAAGTCAGGGAGAGAGAGGAGTGTAAGAAAAGTCAAAAAGAGCCTCAGAAAAAAGAAGATCACTCACGCGGTGATGAGGCAGAGTGAGGCGCTGATGGAGCAGGGGCGCGAGGGCCTCTAAAGTCGATTCTACTGGAATTGTTTGGATCTATGCGAGAGTTATTTCAAAAAGGAAGAGAGTCAATTGAATGAATAGTTTACTCGCTCGACCACGGTCCGGGATGCGTACCTTGGTTGGCTAAAGCATGCGCTTCAACTTCTCTGTAGGATGTAACTACGGCTTCATTCCAGACAGGGATATCGGGCTCGGTGGCTCGGGGGACGCCATCATAGAGCACCATATCCTCTTCAACTATTCCGGGAAGTAAAGTTTGACTCGACATGACTAGCTAAACTCAGATCGAAAATTAAAGAAAGAGGTTATTCAATTGAATGAGTTAAGATCGACGTCAAAGGCTTGCGAACGGAGATCAGAGAGTTGTGGAGGTGTTCTTACCGATGAACTATCAAAGAAGAAGGGTATTGTAGGAATTTGAACGTGTTGTTGAGTAGTTTTCAAGGACGGTTATTGGAATTGACGTTTTTTAAATCTTAGAAACCAGTCGCCTGTGACGAGATCAAGTACACCAAATTTCACCAATATAACACCCAAAAATTCGTGATTTTTTTAGTAGGGTAATGATGAGTTAAGGTCTAAGAATCTCTATGACTAGTATCCGTATATTGGTACATGAGGATTTGCCATTGTATGGTCCACTTGATCATCTTCCTACTCAAAAGCGGCTTTTGCACGGATATGAGAATCTACTCTTCAGCCAGATTGGTCCAGTAAGGGTGAATGTAAGGATAGGTGATTCTGAATGGTATAGTCAGTCCTCAGTGATTGATAGATCCTCATGTGTCCCAACTAAACCTCTTTTGAGCCTCTAATGAAGACTTTACATTCCTCTAGGGATATTTGAACATACCTGACCATTTGGTGAAGGCCAAGTGTCTCAAGGCAGCGGAAAACTGAAAGCTCTTCAAAGCTGACGGTTTGATTTTACATTGTCTGAAGAGTGGTCAGGTCAAGTCTGAGCAGCAGATGACACCATTTACGAGCTTCAATCTTGTATCAAGTCTTTTTCTCAATTATCCCATACATGAGTGAGATGTCTAAATATGATGGACTAAATAATCTTGATAAAAGGCCCCGTTGACCCTTACCCATTTGGGAACTCGTGTTCGACGCACTACACTAACTCCCAGAGTGAAGAAAATCGGCGCAGAGCCCTTTGGCAATGGTTACGACTTCATCTCGACCGCAGGTTTTGTTCATTGTCTTTTAATATGATCTTCTGATGAAGCGTGCATCATCTGTGGGATTTGATGCAGGCGGGTCTTCATCACATCTGGCAGGACCCGAAGACCCGGTATGGATATTCTTCTCTTGGATTACAAACATCTAGAAGCGCGTCAAATAGGCGAAGCGCGCTTTTCTCTCTTTTGATCTTTTCTGGAGGATATTGTCCCTCGCACCAGTACAGATTTCCCATTTACAAATGGAAGCGCCAGGAATTGATCCGACATACATAGGGTTGCGGTATAGCGCTTTGATCAAACTTTCTCTCGCTCTTCGTAGAACCCAAGTTTACCGCCAGTTTCTTACTAGAAGCTTCATCTCCTCAGTCGCCTCAAGTCTTCTTGCATCTCGCGATCCAAACTTGCTATCTGATTAATTTTGGACGCGGATGCTGGTCAACGTTTGATCATCAGCGGAATCCATCAACGCACGGATCAGAGCTAGCTTTGGCCACTTTGAACGAGCAATTTCAGCTTACAAAATGTAAAGTGAGATCTTCTTTTCGAGGAAGAGTACTGTACGATTGGAAAATTCATTCGCACAAATTGGAAGAGCTGAGCACATATAATTCTAACAAAAAGAGGCTTCTTATTAACTAATTATCACATGATCATTTTCAAATCCACCTTCAGTAATCACCATACCCGCAGTGTGGCCAAATGGCCCCAGCCGAACCTATGAGGATTATACTGATTATCAGTCATTGGAAATGAAACTGCGATATGGATCCAGTCTTGGCACCTTTCAGTGCGAATCATCAGCCTTAAATCCAAAGTACTGAACGCAGGGAGGGTTTCGACTCTTCTGGTAGATCATAGTTGGTATAAGCCAGATGGACAGCTCACAATTATGTGTGCTCTTGTGATTTTCGCATCCATCACGTATTTATTCTCTGGTGCTCCGACACGTGGCTCCAACCCAGAACAAGAGTGATCCAGCATGCGCTCTGTACGGAAGTATACTCTCGTTAGATTGGCTGAGGACTCATAAAATCTGTCCTGAGATGTGTTCTACGTTACATCCTCATGGTGCACGCATACATATGTAAATTGACAATGAGGATGCCAGTTGGTTTTCGAAGTTGACAAACCACCTTCTGATTTCACAAAAGTTGGAAGTTCCTTCATTCATATCGTTACAGGAGGTTTGACAAGACTCATTCCAATTCTTCCGACAAAGTTTGCCCGAGTCATGCGGGCATCAAGGAACATGTTTCTCGAAAACGACATCAACTTGTGTACGGTTGACAATACTCCAAGTATCAAATTGGGAAATTGATCCGGACGATCCTGAGCAATCATCAGAGCAACCACAGATGACGAGCACCGGGGCTCGTAGATTGATGGGTCAGATACAGCCGCACCAGGCGAGATTTGGTAACAAGAACCGCTGTAGATATGAGCAGGTTGTTGAGTTGGTCTTGGATCCTCTGAGTTATGGAAAACTAGTTTGCTCGTTGATTTGGCGCAATTACGCGCTTTGGTATGCGTTTTGGTACCAAGGAAGTTGGCCTCAGCACACATCGAGTGCTGTTTTAAGGTGCCACTTCGAATGCAAGTAGTTGTCGATTGCCATTTTCTCGATAGGAAGGAACGTTTAGCTATGGACGAATGAAAACTTCAACGTATCAGGCCAAGCCTGGAATCGATTTGAAGGAAGGCTGAGGCTGAGGCTGAGGCTCGAAGAGGATCAAGATGATGAGAGTAACAAACCGAGATGTGGGAGATGCGGTATGTATTCAAGACATTCATACTTGTGGTGTATTACGTAATCAAACGCCTCTTGTTGAAAAGGTCCTACCGAATATGGCAATTCATTCATTTAACCGTCAATCCCAACGAATCAATTCGTAAGCATGCTTATACCCCTTGCGTCATCGAAGGTTATCAAGAAGCTCAAGAGTCAAGACGCATCTACTTCAGCAGAAGTCAAAGATTTAAGAGAGAAATAACGACCTACATACTTGCACTATTCGATAGGGTATTCAGTTGTGCCAATCGAATCTGAGCATAATTGTCAATTGGCTGCAGGGTTCACAATGTAGAACAAAGATAAGCAATCTCCGCTTGAACATAACCTCATATTATCTTGAATGCTTCAGGGCTGGCTCATACATAGTAGTAAGTACTCATCAAACAAGCTGACCTCAGGCTTCTTCACTACTGAGAATGTTAGCCTTTCAAATTTCTGTCACAATGTCTTGGATCAAGGATATGAACGCGATGTTTGATCAAAAGCTTCAACTTCAAAAAGAACTAATGTCATTCAGGATTAAGTTTGAAATATATTCAATTTTTGGCAGAGTTTATGGCCTTTAAATAGATGAAAATCATATTGTTGGTACAACTTGACTGTAAAGAAATCTTATAACTCGAGATATATTTTCGATCACATAAAATCAGGTAATCCAGTTCCTACAAGCCCCATATTATTGTGGCCTGCCATACTTGTCTTCTGCATCAAGTTCGAATGTAATCGATTAAGATCCGTGTTCCATTTTTCTAGAGCTGCATATCGTTTTTGATCAAGTGCAGGTCTGTGAAAGGTACAAAAGAATATCAGTGTTTGGCTTCAGACCTTTCCTATGATTGGGTTAGGCTCACTTTGAATGTAAAGTTAGTATACCACGTGGTTGATCAAGTTTGCCTTCGATTTTATTATCCAAGATCAAAAGTACAAGCATATCTTCAACCTCGGCGTCCGTGATTCTCAATTGCTAGAAAAAAAATGCGAACATCGGAATCTGTAGGTCAGCATAGTCAGTGCTATAGAGCCATTGATATGGCAACTCACTTTGGCCAAGTATGATACCTCGATTCGAGTATAGGACTTTAACATGGTCAAAATCCACTGAGTTCTCAGTGAGACGAGAACATCTTGTATATACATGGCAATGAATGGGTCGTCCATGATCGTCGCTTTGTTAGCTGTGGAGATGTCACCAGAAATTAAACATGATCAACACCTGCGTTGATGAAGCAGCTGGCAGTAGCGTTAAAGGAAATGACTTACTTTTAAGTATCTTTTCAGCTTCATGGACATCTCTGACTTGGTAGGCGGAAACCAGATTAGTCATCGCTACGATTTGAGGGTCTTGCTTATACCTATTAAAACACCCATTGTACGAAAATGACCATATATGAACACCGATTCCAAGAGTAAGGGATGGAATTGGTTTTACTAACGGTTTGGTTTCTTGTGAGTCAAACGGATCAATCTCGCTATCCATCAACATATGAGCCAAAACCAAGTATTTCAACGAAGATATCCGTTGAGGTGATCCTGCCTCATCATAGTTCTTGAACGCTTCGAAAAAATCGATCTGAGCCTTTGCCCATTCCTCTTAAAAGCCAAATCCACATGAGTACAAAAGTAACACGTAACGAACTGGCAGGCTGAAGCTTCGAATTGTACTCACTTTCTGACATATGCATTTTGCCTCCACATTCTCGGATGATACCCATGATCCTAGGATGAGGAATAGTAGATTTGACGTTCAAAGTTTGATCGTATATTTTCTGATATCAAAGAAACATAGCCATCAAAACCTGATGAGAAACTTCACATTCACGAGTGAAGCCTTACTCGAAGTTTTTTGCTCTCTTTGCGATCTGTGTACATTTGAATTTCAATCGCTAGAACTTCTAACAAAAGCGTACCGATCGAGTTATCAGATTCGATTGATTCCTTTCGCTGCTGTGAACCCTCTGCATTCGATGAAGCGGTCGGCCCATCGATCGCAGCATGCAATTTGGTGATGACCTACGGACGTGAATCATAATCGAAGGTCACAATATGTTATCGCGCGTCAAAAGCTGAAGTGTGCATAACTCCTGATGGGAACTGTATGGAAGTGATTTCAATAGACAGATTCGCGGCAAACCTGTTCTAGTCCAGCATACTCTTTCCGGTCAAGCCATATTTTGGCCAACTTGAGATCCGTCTTCACGCTGAGTCGCTAAATAAGATTATTTCATTTCAGTATCACATAAATGTTCATTATCGATCAAGATTGAAAAACTGACCTCATTTTTTGATTCATCCAAAGCCTTCTGAGTGACTTCATACCATTGTTGCATGAGATGTGTGTCCAAGTCCTGTGCTGCACTCACGTAATCCAATATTCCGTTGATAGACTTTTCCGACGCATTTCGAGTGACAGCAGTGCGACAATATCCCAGTAGTTCTGTATAGGTCTTATGAAGAAATGAAAGAAGAGAATCCACTATCAACCCAAGGAAAGAACACATCAAAGAGAACCGGTCACAAAAGGCTCAACTGCTAGTGCTTCCTTATATTTTCCTCGACGAAAGTTCAACTTGGTACTTTGTTTGAGTGCCTTGAAGCCCCATTCTCCCTTAGGATCCTCTGTTTCAACAATACTCCTCCAATCTTCTAAAGCCTTTTCAGGGTTTTCCACTTTATTATTCTTCGCGTGATAATATTTGTTTTCGATATCTGCATCAACATCTTCTTGATCATCATCTTCGTAATCAAAATCATACTCCTAGTTAAACAGACGCGTGAGCGTTCTATAAAAAAATACGCAAGAGTTGGTGGGAAGAACAGACCTCATCCGCGCCTGTTGATCGCAGATAAAAATAATAGTCGGGTCAGAGTCGAGGTTGGACATAGTTTCACTTGTGGGAGAATTTTGACGGACCATCATCCATCACTATATAGTGAAGATCAAAAAGAAACTACCGTCAGTCAACTATCAAAAACGCCAATCTGCGCGAGCCGTAGTGACTCAGGGATTTTTCTGAAAGGCAACACTAACTAAAGTCATCGTCGGACATTTTTTGCGGTCAACTTAGATTGGGCGAAAAAGGCGTTGTGTTTGTTTCGGAATAACCTCCGAATTGTCTTTTGTTGTTGATGATCGCAGTCGATACGTTGGGATATGACGTTGGATAAAAGACTGGTGAGGAGGACAATGGATGAGAGCATTGGCCAACCCGGCCCTGATTTATTCGGAGCAGGTCCGAAGCCGGGCCGGCTGAAGATTCACATCCGCACTGCATGACGTAGCCCCGCGTGGCATGCCCCGAGCACCTGCAATGCCTGCCAAAGAAATGACAAGCTTCCCTCCACCATTTGCTCAGCAACAATTATGCAAAACATCACAAGGTAACAACTAGTCCTCATGAGTGGAAAAAGATCACCCATTGAACAGTAAAAGAGGTGTAATCAACTCATGAAAGAGTATATGGCCAATGACAACTCCATCTTTCATGTGAGTTGAACCAATTTGTAAATCAACTTGACCACAAATGTACCTTTTCATATGACAAATTTAATGCCTGGTGTTCAATTTTCAATCAGGTAATATTGAAAACTGATTTTCCCAATGATTTTACATGAAAAATTTAAAAAGATAGAATGAGTTTCTATATCCTTGAAACACTTTTACATCTTATTTGATCTTTTTGACAAGTTGATCTGAGTAAAAAATAACCTCAATTGATCATCAATTGAGGTTATGTAGATGACTTGAGGTTTACACAGGGTGCAAACAAAAGCTATGGCATAATGAGACAAGAATCAAAAATATATTCCACAATAGGAACCATCTCTTTCAATCATTGGAGTTTTTAAAAAATTCTTCAGTCATGTGTTGAAAGCCAAAATGTTCACTCTTCGTCGTCCAAGTAGCCGTAGCTTTGTTTTGATAACTTGATCCGTCATATTTTAGAGCCAAGGATAGTGGAAACTTACAATCATCATTGTGCACAGGTACCCATCCTACTAACCTCCGCAGAATACATACAACCTTCAAAGCTTTTACCAACGAGCTCTTTGGCTCTCTGGATTGATAGAGTCAACGGATGCCAAGACATTCCGCAGACACGCAGGGACCAGCTTCTTTCGAATAAAAAGGACTGGCCCGGAACGGCAAGGAATCTGCAATAGTCTATAGATGATTTGCGCGCCAAGGATTCGTCACAAGTGATCCAAGATCCCACATTCTCTGTTAAACGCAGTTTAAGATGTCATACACGTATAGTCAAGGTGTAAGTGTTTAGAGTGTGTGGAATTTTATCTTTTATCATCTTGGCTAGCTGACTACTACAACTTGAAGGAAATATACCACACCCTCCTAGCTTTGATTGATGTTTATTGACAAGAACTTGTTTCTCCTCTGTCCAGATGCCAATTTGTGCTATATTTGCTTTGAAACCGTCTTAGATGGCTTCTGGGGTCCTCTCAATGTATGAGATAGCTGTGTTTTATATTACATAGATCAGTTTGCGTGGTGGAGAGTAGTAAATTAGTGAAAAAGAGTCGAGAAGTCAGACTAACCTTCGCTGACGGTGGTGATTTTATCAGCCTCTTCATCTGGAATCTCGATTGAGAATTCCTATAAGGTCAATTTTCATATTTTCATAAATTGAGTCAACATGAAGCCTTTGTCATCCTCTTTCTTGACAAATTGATATCGCGTACCTCTTCAATTGCCATCACTACTTCTACTGCGTCTAGGGAATCAAGTCCAAGATCGGAAGTGAAAGAGGCCGTAGGAGTAATCTAAAAAAACTGATCGATCAGATATCCAAAAGCGTTCTTAAATAATAAATGTGAGGTTTACTGACTTTAGCTGGATCACATTTTTCAAAAGTTCCAAGTACTTCTAAAACCCTACGTTGGATATCTTCTTTACCAATCGAACTAGAACTACCAAATCTAATTTGTTGTTGTGAAAAAGTTGAAGATCTAGTGATTGAACTTCGGATCAAAACGGAAGGTTTATAGGTAGAATAAGATGTGATTCTTGGTACTGAAACTTGTTTGAAGATAGAAAGTGAAGTTGAACGTAAAGTTCTTGAGGTGATTGTTCTGATTGACATCTTGTTGAGAATGAGTTGAGTTTGATTGGATCGATTGTCTTTTTATTGTTTGGTTGGCTCAGGCTCAGGTGTTCTTCTGGATGAAGCCGATTGGTTGTGAAAGTGTCAAATTCGATAAAAGCATATCTATCTTGCTATAAGGCTACCCGATACATACTCATCCATTTCAACTTTGTGTGAATTTTGACGTTGAATATTTGACCGCTACAGTGCTATCTTCTATTTCATCATCATCCTTACTTCGTCTTTCAGTCACCTATACGAATTCATTCAAGATGAGGTTAGCCAAATTAAACCGATCAATGTCACATCGTAATGCAATGTTTCGAAATATGGTCTCATCTCTGATCGAGCACGAGCAAATCAAAACAACACTTCCTAAAGCAAAAGCTATCTCTAGGCTAGCAGAAAGAGTTATCACTTGGACTAAAGCTGGTACCGAAAACATTTTTTATCAACGAAAAGCTGAATCTTATTTAATGGTCAGTTTTGCTTTTCATACACGGTTTAATATCCAGATTGCATGACTGATATTTGATTTGCTTTCGATTTTCTGGCTTTATAGAATTGGACTAGACTTAGAGGTCACTTATTTCAAACATTGGCAAAACGATATGAGGATCGGGTTGGAGGTTATACCCGTATACATCGGTTAGGTCATCGCGCAGATGATCATGCACCATTGGCGATCATCGAGATGGTCGATAATGCACGGGATTTAAAACGTGATCAAGTGATTCGAACAGCTGCACGGGAGTTAGCGACCCTAGAACTTTCACATCGAGGATCAAAAGTACCTCGTCAAATCTGGCGTAATGTAGTGTGCGAAAGTGAAGAAGAAGCCAAGAAAGTGATTGAAGAAGTCAAAACCCTCATAGCACCTTTAACCAACAAAAACTTGGAAAAGGTGCTTAGTGAACGATATGTAAATGCTTATCAATATTGTCAACCGATTCAAATCCCAACAAAAGAAGAAGCTCAAGATGAGATCTTACGCACAAAACAATTAAAGCGAGAAGTCTTTTTGGCCAAATCAAGCTCGCCATCTCTCTCATCTGATTCATTACCAATTCAATCATCATCAAAACCTACTTCAACTTCTCTTACTCGATCAACCAAGACGAAACCATCCCTGACTCGATCTCTCGGTCTTCCGAAACCAATCGGGGCATACACGGATTTCTTGTATAGCCTCCGACTGCATTTTCATCGTAATTTGACGACTTTGGATCCTTCAAAGCTTGGTCGACAGTCCCGAAATAAGGCTTTGAATTTGAAAGGGAATAGAGCATTGATTGAGGATAAGGATCCACGAGACCCCTCACTTGCATCTTTGTAATACACTTTTTATTGGGGTACGAAATACCATCTGATATACCACTGCGGCGTTCTGATACTGAATATGAGAGTATTCTGGGATATATCCCTTCAAAATTTGAGACGTTGCTACTCGTGACTTTCGACCAGGTGTGATTTCATCAGTTGACTCATGGGTTCGCTCTCTAATAGCCATACTACCATTGATGGAAACTTGAATAATGCTTGTCTGAAAGATTCGAACGTCAGTAAGAAAAAAAATGTCCATGAGTGAAAACAACTTCAAAAGATTGGTAATGGTTTTCAACTGCGACGTTTTCTATTGTTCACACATTGTGGATGCCTTCTTGACGCCATCTGATTCTGGGTCAAGATGATAGTGAGAGATGACGTCTCTTGACCGGCAAGTGTCAGCAGGTTGTTCTGTACATCCCCTGCTGAGGTAAACAACAAAACTGGGTTTGAAGACCTTGAAGAGCTGATGAGTCATCAAAACTTATGTAGCATATAAACAGCTTCATGTGGCAGGACTATCCGAGTCCGACGGGACCACATCTTTATTGGTTCCTCTCATCAGATTCTCATAGCGCCTCACACCGCGGGAATCACCTTGTTTGAAACCCAATTGAGTGGAATTTTGGTGTCCGGGTTCAAAATTTCCTCAAATTGTGAATCTTGTTCACAAATCATTAGCATTATGTTTGCCAATTTCCCTTGACTACCCTACAATACATACACATACACAGCACTTTCAAAACCTGTGATTCCAACTGTTTGACTACATATCTCACCGCTTATCATGTTCCCGCTGAACTGCTTTTTTTTGGTTGATTGAGGCTTGACAAATGAGGATGAAGGTGAGGAATGGTGGAAGGGGATGTTGCTGTATGATGTGACTGTGCATACACGGGGCCAGCCGAGTACAGAGTACAGCCCAAGGGGAATTGGCAAACATAATGCAAACGTGTTGTGAACAAGATTCACGATTGGAGGAAATTTTGAACCTGGACACCAAAATTAAGCTCAATTGGGTTTCTAACAAGTTGAATCCCGCAGTGTCAGCCTCAGCCTGAGCTATAGGGTTAGCCCAGTGACTCCGGACTCGGCTTGATATAGTCAAAGCCTCGTCATTGAGAGCTGAACGTTTGCTAGATTTGCTCGATACTTGATATGGTCATGAAGTCCTTTGATATCAAGAGACACAATCTTGCTATATAGTAGCCGGTCGATCGGCAATCCGAAGAACGACTGACCACCAAATCCACTCGCTCCCGGCTTCCAGTGCTTCTCTCTATTTTCTAGGGCAGCTCAGTTTGAGTTCTCTTAATATTACCAACATCGTGGATGTGTGTCAGGACTCAGTGGTTTTTCTGAGAACTCCACTTCCAGAATTATGTGAGCATCAGCAGAGTTGTGATTCCCAATTCCTGCCCGCCACCAGGACGGATCACAATTTGTAAATTTCCTGTGCAGTCAACGCAGCATGCCTCATCTGGTCACAAGCGTCCATTTACCAATTCCCAAAAAGAACGCGAGATATTCAGTCATTGGTAATGCCCTTGTTGACTGAGGTTGTGCGGAATCAAGGCGCTCTCCAAGGTGGGCACGACACAGGTGAGGGTCGTAAGGAACCTTTGGCCCTTTTCAGACAATCCACCAACAGTGTTGCAAAGATGGAAACGAGTGAAAAAGTGGCCTACTTACCTGCCCTAATTGTTCACAATCATATGATATGATATGATGTTGATGAGCTGCAATGACAAGATTCGAACAATAGGAAGAGTTGGATGGGAAGCTTAGTTAATTTTAGGGCAGGATATTGGTCATGAAGTGTGGAAATGTCAATATCCTTTGGTACACTGTCAAATGTATTGGAACGTACCAGAAACTGTGGATGGCTGCGGCTTCTTCTTGTGGAAGGATGCATTGGTACATGCTTCCGGCCCGCGGGCGGGAATCAGCTTGCACATTAGGGCCAATGTTCACAGAATTATATCATCTTTCCCAATACTGTAATGACTTACATCATTACACCTTAAAGTTACATACACATAGACTTAGGACCTAAGATTATTTTCATACTTCTTTCAGAATCATCACACGCAAATCCTGGCTCCTTAGGGAATACTGAGCTGATCTCATAATTCATTATCTTCGGAGATAGGTGAGCATTTTGATTATACATATTTCTCCTTATCTCTTTTATTTCTCTATTACTATCTATTTTATATTCCTCCTTAGGGAATACTGAGCTGATCTCATATTTCAATATCCTTGGAGCTAGAAATAAAGACACATACCTTGGTTCTAGAAATTCGAAGTCCACTACATGGCACCAGATGCTCAGTTCCCTCTGAGAAAGACTATCTCAAAGATTCCTTTGAGTGAGGACACATCAGTCCTTTAGAAATACAAAAGTTGGAGGCAATATTAAGTTGTATTTTACTAATATGTACAATCAATTCCACATGAGCTAATCTTGTTGGGGAATTGGGGACACATTTTTAGGAATACCCCAAACAGGGTCAGGGAGCCTGTACGAGCGTCAGGACGGGGTCCAGGCAGGCCACTACTCGACGGATAGTGGCCGGGACAGGCCGAGTCTACATACACTTGCTTCAGTGTACTCTTACTTTGGCTAGGTATCGCACAAAGAATGCATTCAGTAAAAAACAGAATTCAATCTAGTTGAACTCAAGATGCGCACCGGCCCCGGATATTGAGCGGATATCCGACAGATGCTCTGTCGGATCCAGATGCCGGAAAGGGCTTCAAATTCATCTGGTGGCCGGGTAATTTGTTGGCTTGGGAGTCGGAATGGCCTGAACACGCCGGATACCACATTTTCAAACCGGATTTCGCCGGGATATCCGTCGGAGAATCCCAGTGGCCGGATAAATTGTCGGTTCGGTTGTTGGAATGACCTGAACACGCCAGATACCAGCCGGTGCCCATCTTGAAGTCGAACTCCTGTTAAACTCAACAAAGTCCCCCGTTAGCCCCCGCTTTACCTACACCAGGGGGTAAACCTACGGCAAGAAAACGGTTTTCAAAACCGTTTTCCTGCCGTCACGGATTTGAACTATTTGTGTTGTTTCTGAAACGATTTCAGATGGGACCGCACGAACGCGGTTCCCATCACCGTTTTTGGCGGTACAAGCAAACTCAAGATGTGCTCCGGCCGGTATCCGGCGGCTTCAGGCCATTCCGACGACCGAACCGACGGATATTTTGTTTTATCGGTTTTTTTCCAAAAACCCCTTGTCCGACACTTGAGCCGATACACCGGATATGCCGGATTTCCGCCGGATAGCCGGAGTATCCGGTGTATATCCGGCGTTGTTTTCCCCTCCCCTCATTCCGAATACCGAACCGGCCGGATTACCCGACCACCGCACAATCTTGAAGGCCTTTCCGGCATCCGGATCCGACGGAGCATCCAACGGATATCCGGCCAGAACCCGGTTCCGGGTCTCATCTTGAAAGCAAACCGCCTTGGTGACCCCTAAACACGGTCCCTGGAACGTTCCGAGGGTACGTCGTAGATTTGCCAAAAGAAAATCAGGCAGTGGGACTTGAAAACAAGCTCAAAAACGAGAAAAGGCTTGATCCTGGCGACCGAGCGTTTCACCGCTCACTGCAGGCAAGGTGCTGACGCCACATATGTAGTGTCGCGCGGACGCCTCGGGGCCGGGGCCGAGGCGTCAGCTGCTTACTGATATGACACATACAGCGTCAGCTGTCACATTTTGGCGTCAACGACCTCAACTTTCACCGTACTTGCCCTGACTCACCCTTACTCACCCTTACCACCCTCGTCCCTTTTCATCGCCACGTTCCTTTTCAACTCCACAGTATACTCGGATCGGTTCTGGTACGTTTGACCACCTGGCACAGACATCATACGTAATTGGCATTCTTTCAGGCATGTTCAATCGCTGAACAGGATCAATAATCATACCCAACCTGTTTAGCGACAACAACGGGCTTTATGTCAAGCTAAATTGGTCTTACCCACGATTTGACTAGATCTTGATTTGACCCACGATCTTGTTGTTTAGTAAGTAATTTTTCATCCTTTCTTGTCTTATTCCAATAGCTTGGTACCCCCTGAGTGGATACTCTAATTGTGACATCTTTCCGGTCCGGACCCCCAGGAGGGGTACAAGCTGTTGCAAGAAGCCTAGAAAATTAACTGACAATGCTTAGTTGTGTACAGACAGTATCTATGGAGACAGTCAAGCAGGTAGGATCCTGTGGAAACTTAGATCATTTGGGAGAATGGCTCGGCAGGTGAGATGTTAATTGTTCAGCAAGGCTCTCATGATGTCAAAGATCGGTGTGAGTGATGCACCTTTTGGGCACATCTCTGATCCTTTGTAGATTTCTCAACAGGGCCTCCAAGGAAGATCGAGAGGTAGTGACTTGGCAACTCAGGATTGAATCGTCTGACATGTATAATCTTGTCCCAAAGCAGACACAGGGGCCTATAAGAAGACGGTACTGGTGAGCACTCTTGTCTCTGTCCACTCCTCAATTTTTCTCGTAACAAATCTTCTGACTCAACGTTTGATCATATCTGAATCTCTGATATCATATCGATTACATTATATCTTAATCAAATCATATCTCAGTCGAATCATATCTCAATCTTTGTTTTTCTTCTTTTACACCATGAATAGTGATGATATTCAAAGGCTTATCACGGCTCAACAACAACAACTTGAGGCCCAGAACAGGATGATTGCAGAAATGCAAGCGCAGACTGCTTCACGCGACAAAGCGTATGAAGACTTACTCAAGCAGTTTGGAAATATAGGTGTCTCACCCTCAACCTCATCTGCTTTACCAAAAAAGAAGAAAACTCGTGCTTCCACTGGCTCGATGCCACATCAACCTCCTGTCAGTACTCCATCTACCAGCAAAAAAACACCCACCAGTAAGCCCAAAACAACCACCTTGAAAGCCAAGCCTTCAGCTTCACAACCTTCAGCAACACCAAAAAAAAACCATCTATAAAGGCACCAAAATCAACACCAAAGAGTAAAAAGACTGCTGCAGTTCCCTCACCAAAACCAACACCAAAGCGAAGTCCTCACCAGTTCCCAACTGACCAAATGCCTCCAGGTTTTAAAGACACAAAGGTCAGTGATCTCTTTTGTTTCAATTCAACTGGTCATGTCCTTTTACCTACATCCGACTGTCATGTTCTTCTATCTGCATTCAACTTTCATCACTGACTGTTTGCATTGTAGGAATGTTTCTTTTTATTCATTCGAGTTATGTGGGGTCTCATCTTGGCGGGTGCGGTTCCCAAGGCACCAGACCCAGCTCTTATGGAAGAATTCAACGCACGTCTCTCTAATGTATCAGAAATCGCCGGTGTATTGGACAATCACGCAGCTCAGAGTCTGATTGACGATAAGGAAGTAATCACACTGGCTGAAGCCCGTCATGGTCGCATGAAGGTCGGAAAGGGTATCTTCAACATCAAAGATTTTTTCCTTCTTTTCACTCGAGCAATGCTGGCCAAGCTTGGCATACGAGTTTGGTGCCCTGATCTAGATGCCTCTGAGGACTCGATGTGGAACGAAGCCTGTCGAATCAGTGCCATTTGTATTTTCCGGCAATGGGCGATAGCTGATGCTTTCATCACAATGAACATCAACAAATCCTTTATCAACAATATCTTACTGCTTGAACGAACTTACAATCATTACGTGTTTCATGTGTGTGCCGACAAGTACAAACAAGAGTTGAAGGGGGAGGGAACAAACAAGGTGGCAGATGAGAGAAGAGCTGCACAGACATGTCGCAGACGTGTAAGTTTATGTCTCTTTCACGAACATGTGTTTCATGACTTGCAGATGCTGATGGTGTTTGTATCTTTGTCATAGTTGCGAAAAGCTCGCTTTCTCCACGCAAGGGATAACAACTTCCCCAAATGATACAAAGCAATGCTTTACAAAACCAAAGCCCATAGTGACGATGAATTCAGCCCAAAGTTGATGGCTTATGTGGCCAAGACCCTGGTATACCGATCTGCTAAGGCCAACCAGATGATATGGCAAGTTGACGAGCACATGTGGTGTTCCAAAGAAATCAATGGTACACGGGTTCAATCACGACCACGTTTGCGACCCAAGACCCCAAAGATGTCAACTTTCACCAAACCTCCGAAGAAATTTCCGATTGACTTTTTCAACGCTGACTGGTTCAACAACTCCCTTTTGCTTGCACAGAAACTTCAAGTCGCTGATATTCACAAAGTCATCTTTCTTCCCAATCCAACTCTTTCCCTCCTTGGTACACCTCACCCTGACAAAAAATTGAATGACAAGAAATTTACTGAAAAACATTGGGCTGACGCCACAAAGGACTACTGTATGGATCAACTCATCAATCAAGAAGAAGAAGAAAATTCTGATAGCGACGAGGATGGAGATGACGAGTCGCATGATGGAGATAGCATTGACTTGGATGAGACTGACGGGGAAGATGATGGAGAGGAAGAGGATGAGGATTATGAAGAAGAGGAAGAGGAGGATGAAGATGATGATGATGATGTTGGTAATGATTTTGAAGAAGAGGGAGCACCAGTAGGAAAGGGGAAGGGAAAGGCACCAGCAGGAAGCGGGCCATACTTTGTGGATGATACGGATGTGTATGTGGATGAGGAAGCAGAAGATGAGGGTTGTGCGCTAAGATTGGATGCCTGGCAGAATGCTTGAAGGTGCTATAAGTTGTTTTCTTCTTTTAATATCTCCTTGTTTGTTCTTGTTTTCCTTTTCATCTTACTCTTTGTGGATAGTATATGGTCAATGACATGTGGTGATGATGGATATAATTTAACTGTTGTTATCCCCTTCTTTCTCATTTTTCCGACTTTGTGAATAGTCTACAATTGTTGTCCGTCTCTTTACATCTACTTTGTGAATAGTGTATGGTCATTGTATGTTTTTTTGATGTTCTTGGGTTATGTTTGTGAATACAAGATGGGCAATAAATCAAAGTGTTTGAAGGTTTTACTCATTATAAAGGTTCTTAACCTTGCAAAACTTTATTGAAGCACGGAACAAACATAACAAAAAAATTGTATAACAAAAACATTTGTATAACAGAAAAATTTGTATGACATAAAAATTTGTATGACAAAAAAAATTTTTGTCATACAAAAAACTTAACAAAAAAATTGTATAATGATTTGGCACCCGGACGAGGCACGAGGTAGATTGCCCTGGTCCATGGACTAGCGGGGCCATCAACCACGCGCCTGAGGAACACTTCCTTAGCAGCTGTTCACAGCATGACAGCTCAACCGTCTGTCCTGGTCCTCACAAGAAGGAGTTTTCCTCTGCTTTGGAATGAGGCTGGCGAAGAGAGAGTCATATAGATGCTCTTGGTCATCCAAGAACTGTCCCTCTCCGCATTCCTATTCTCTCTCTTTCCTTCTCGCCTCATTTCCCTTTCCATTTCCTTATCGTCATTCCAGCGTGATTTGGTAAACTAAGTCTATCTGACTGAGTTTTTTGTGTTAGAATTATTGAACGTTGTGGTGATCAATTTATGGGATCAATTAAAAAATTCACAATTACCAGTTTACCAGTTTATTAGCAGGATTCAGCAGGAAAGAAAATTCGAAATGGAGGTTTTTGATCAATTGAAGCTCTTGTAGGCTTATGTATTGGTCATTAGGTCAACATTACATCATTTTATTTCGCATTATATATTAAGATCATTATAGTTTACTTACAAATTTATTACAAAAAGAAAGAAAGAAAAACATAAGAAAAACTCGAAAATAGAGGTATACAGGTTGGAAATGGTTTTTAGGGTAGTAATATTAGGTTTATGGGTTTAGTAGGGTTGGAATACGAAAGAGGAGCATTGTTTTAGTCAGCAACAATTTTAATCTTCAAGGTTGATAAGTAGAAACAGAAGTTATTAGGAAAAAAGCACTTTTTCGAAGTTGGTAAACAAGAGGTACACGTGTAGTTTGGTTGTGTAATAGTGGTAGTGATGGAATTTAAGGTTGCCAAGAGGATTTTCCGGGATTTTTAAGGCTATAGATGATGATTTCATATTACATGAGCAAGAAAAAGATAGTAGTAGCTGTGAAAAGTGAAGAAAATGGGTGAAATTCGTGGAAAATGGAGGTTTTCAGCTAATTACATATGTCAAATGACGTCAGAATAGGTTGGTAGATGGCTCATTCAACGCAGAAAAGTGGATTACATAATGTACAAACTTTAAATCATTAGTAACGGAGGTGTGTGTAAAAAGTTATAAGGCAAATAAAGAATTGGTGTGAATCTCGAATTTACAGTCACAAGTCATATGTAACACTAAAAACCTTAACTTCACAACTCAATATCTTACTCATCACTCATCAGAAATAGGTCATGTAGGTGTCAGAAATGATCAGTAACACGTGGGCTACAAGATGCACTTTAGTAATCAAAAATTGGAGCACATCTGAAAAAATTCGTAATCTCAAAAATTGGTTTTCAGCTAGTTTACAAGGAAAAAATCACCTGTATTCATCATAAGAAGTGCTGTACATCATATTATTGCGTCATTGATCACTTTTAGCTGTGAAAATTACATCATTTATTAGTAACAAAACCATTACATTGCGTCATCATAGGGTTTTTAGGGAATTTTGGGCGGATTTGATTGGTTTTGAGGCTGTTGACCATTGTAAAAGTTCTAGTACATTGTTATATATACTTTGAGAGGGTTTTGGGACTGTTGTTCCCCTTTTTTTTTATCATTTACGCCATTATTATTTTGTTTATCATCATAAACTTATTTTAATAGTACCTGTTCACTTAAATACGCCCTTTATTACAGTTATAAAGAGAAATTTACTTTAGTTTTATAGTCATAAAGACTTATTGGGAATAATATCAATCAGATATTGCTTATTTTTTTTCAGTTATCAATTGGGAATAACACTATAGCAGTGTTGATAGTAATACAAAGTGTGCTTTTGAAGTTAAAATTATGTGTGAAGTTATATTTCTCTGGTGCCTTATCAGTACTCAATACAACAGAGCTCTTTCTGATTGTGTTGTTTTAGAAGAGCAGTCCTTAGACAACTTCTACTAGTCATTTTATTAGTAGATTATCCTCTTCCAGCTCTGTATAACCCTTGTTGGGTTATAAGTTCTACATATTGGTGACTCTGCCCGGGCTTGACAAATTAAAATCAACTTATAATTAAATCAATTTCTCTTTTAATCATTATCAACAAGCAAATTATATTATATTACATCAAGATTCAATAAAAATTATTCACGTGGTTATCAACAGAAGATCTTTAAAATTAAAATTATTCAAATCAATCATAAACATTATCTTTCATTCTCATTTAAAAGTATATCAAAATTAGTTCTTATTTAAAGAATTTATTATATAAAGAAGCTATGTCTTCAGTTATTCAAATGCATAATCAAGATGTGGCGGATGATGGAGATGAGGAATTAGAATTACCACCAACATCTCATTATAAAAGAACTCCACGAATTTCTGGAAGCAGAGTTTATGTTCCAGATGTTTCTACTTCTATTAACATATTACCACCACCACCACCTCCAGGACCTTCCTCTGGATCAACTATTCATGGAAAACAACGTGAAGAACCACCTGCTTCTGAGGATCCAATTCCACCTTCAGCCTTTACTGGATTCAGGGAACAGGAACCATTATTACCCTCTGATCATGAGGAAGACGTGGATTGGCAACAACAATTCTATAATCAACAACAATATTATTTACAAAGAGAAAAAGAAGTGGCAGACATTATTACTAATAATAGAATTAAGGAAGAAGGAGAGAAGAAGGAGAAGGAAAAAGAAGTGGTAAAAGTCGTGAAAAAGAGTAAAGGCAAGAAGGTTATTAAGAAAATTATTAAAGAAGATGATGGAGGAGATTATTCAAGTTCTTCAAGTTCTTCAGATGATGATTCAACTAGTAATGGAGATGTTAGTAGTGAAGAAAGGAATGAGGAGGCCAGAAGTCATATTAAACCACGTAGAATTGATAATACTGATTCAAGTATTAGATTTGAAGTTGGAAGGAATGTTAAGAAGTTTATCATTAATTATCATAGTCAAGCTGAAGCAAATGGCGCCTCAGAACTTGATATGGTTAGACAAGTTACTAGCTTTGTTGTTGGAGAAGAATTGAAGGAGGAAATACGTGAAATGGATGGTTGGGGTACTGGTGAATGGAGTTGGAAGAAAGTTAAGGAACAATTAATTGAAAGGTATCAAACTACCACGGAGCAACCAAGATATTCAATTGATCATTTAAGAACTTTGTCAGAAAGAACTGCTAGGACTGGTGGTGTTACAAATAAAGCTGAATATCAAACATTTAGAATTAATTTCGACAAAATTCATCAATATTTAACAAGACATGATTATATTGATTCAAATGATGAAGAAGTTGCACGCCATTTCTATGATGCTTTCTCTGATGAACTTCAAAAGAAATTCAAGAAAAGAATGATTAGAAAGAAGTTAATGAAGAAGGTGGATAGTGGAAGATATAGGTTACCTAATTTAAATAAATTAAAGAAGGTTGTGGATCATTATATTGAAGAAGAAGCTTTATTAATCTTTGAGGATATTGGAGAAGAGAAGTTTGCAATTAAGAATGAAATTGCTGGTGTTAGAAGTGAAGTAATTCAAAAGGATACTAGTAATAAAGTTGCTAAAATAGGAGGAATGCAAGCAAAAGCCACGCAGCAAATGGAGGTTTTATGTAGTGACTTGGGAAATTTACATATAAATCACGTGCAGGCTCCATTATTATTACCACCTGTAAATGCATTGCATCCTTATCTTCCTGTTTCAAATTCTTTACAAACTCAAATCCATCAACAAGCTGAACCTTTTAGAGCTCAACATCAACAAAATCCGTCAAATTATCAAAGAGTTAATCAACCTTATAATAATAATAACAATTTTAATAATCAGCCGCGTAATTTTCCAGCTCAGAATTATAAAGGACAACAGCCCAATTACAGCAGGCCTTATAATAATAATAATGTTAATAGACCTTATAATCCTCAAAATCCAAATACAAATAATCAAAATACTTATCAACCTCCACCACCTCCAAATGGAAATCAAGGAAGTACTGTCTTTTGCGTGTATTGTAATACTGAAGGACATACTGTAGGAAGATGTAGATGGGTAATTCAAGATAAGCAAGCTGGATTATTGCAAGATAGGATGGATGGTTTCTTCTTACCTTCAGGAAATGTAAGGATGTTTAAGCAAGGAGAAGATGGAATCAGGCAGCAAGTTATTAGATATTCTGAACAGCAAGCCAATGATGCTACACGTCAAAATATACAACAACAGCGTGTAACAACTCCTGCTGTACATGTTAATACACCTGTAGTACCACCTGTAACTCCTACAGCTATTATTACTAAAAATGACGGGAAAGATAAAATTCAAGAGCTTAAAACAAGTTGTGGTATTCTTGAAGGGAATTGGAGGATGCCTGAAATATTAAGAAGTAATGGGAATGAATTATTGGGAGGAGGTGGAACTAAAATATATGATATTACAGAAAATACATGTAGTGGAAAGACTGTAACTCAAGCTGAACCTAAGAAGAAGAAGAAGGTTACTATTAATGAAGAAGCTGAGGATATTGATGATGGTATGGATTTAGATATAGAAAATAATATTGAAGAAGCTGGTATAAATGA